GAGGCGCTATCACGCATACGGCAGACAGGAAGCTTGCGCGACTATCTTAAGGAGTTTGAGCGATTGGCATGTCGCATACGAGGCTGGCCCGAGACTGCGTTGGTTGGGACCTTTATTGGTGGGCTGAAGTATGATCTAGCCGCGGAGGTTCGCTTAGAGCGACCAGAATCAATGCATGCGGCTATGGAAGTGGCCCGACGCCGAGAAGATCACCTTGTGGCCACTCGAAGGGGACGGATTGACGTACGTTATCCCGAAACATGACGCGTACAACCAGATGCAAGCGATATGGTTCCGAGCGGCCGACCACCTGACAACTCTCGACCGACTAATAGCACACGACCGCCAGTCAAGCACTTGACGCTCGAGGAGATAAGACGCCGACGAGAGAAAGGACTATGTTTTAAATGCGAAGAAAGATTTATGCCTGGTCATCAATGCAAGCAGGCTTTTGTCATCCACGTTATAGACCCGAATGAGGAAGAGCCCGAGGTCAAGAAGGATTGGGAGCAAGAAGTCGAGATTGGGGTTCCCGAAGAGGAGGCTGAAATCTCGATGCATGCGATGGCTGGTACAAGAGGACCGACGACGATGCGGCTGCCGGCGTTGGTCAAGGACCGTCGTGTAGTCGTTCTAGTGGACAACGGATTGTCGCACAACTTCATCAACGCCGATCTATCTCAAAAGTTGAAGTTGCCAACGACGAAGGTCGAACCATTTGAGGTCCGAGTAGCCAATGGAGAACAACTAAAGTGCTCGGAGGCTTACCGTGCTATACCGATTAAATTTCAAGGAGTCACCATCAAAGCCGATCTCTATGCGCTACCCTTGGTGGGACCCGATATTGTGTTAGGAGTATAATGGCTCGAAGGTTTAGGAAAGGTGACGACCGACTACCGAACCGGGGTCATGGAGTTCAACTTAGGGGAGCACCGGGTCACGTTAAAGGCAAGCAAGGACTGTGGGATCAAGGAGGTTGGTCTCACGAGTATAGAGCAGGTTCGGCATGTGGACGGCCAGATCTTCACCGTCGAGGAGGCAAGCGCACACGCAGGCACGGTCGAGTACAAGGAACCCCCTCTGTTCGACGAATACTTTGGAGAAGTCGAGCAAGTCTCGACGGATTATGATGGCTTGCCTATCTTCGACGAATACCCCGAAGATGAACTCATGGACGTCGAAGGAATTGAAGAAGTCGATGTCGAGGAGACTAGGGTCGAAGGTGAGGTGCAAGAGGTTTGGACGATCGAGCAGCAGCAATCCGAGATACACGAGTTGGGTAGAGCAACCGACCGCGTACTAAGCAAGTCCGACAAAGAAGAAGGCATGATCGACGAAGAGTGTAAGGAGCCTATTCTTCCGTTTGAATTCTCGAAATATTTTATGGACTTAAGGCCCATCGAGTACGTGAATGAGTCAAAGGATTATGAAGGACCGCCTATCTTCGATGTATATCCCGATGAGTACTTTGTCGAGGTTGAAGGCATTTGGGCCGAGTCCAAAGAAGATGTTGTGGTCGAGGTGATGACGCCCCAGTTGATGGTCGATGACAAGTCCTTGAGGACAAGGACATTCTTAAAGGGGGCGGGAATGATGCGGAAGTGGGTTTTGAGCCCTGAAGATGAGAAGGTCCGAAGGCCGATACTATCCGAGAAGGCCAAGCAAAGGGCTGAAACAAGGCTTGCATGGCTTAGGAAACGTGCACGAGCCCGTATACGAGGGTACCGACATGCACAATGGCATAGGAGGTCGAGGAAGAAGCTCAAGAGATCAAGGCTTGAAGGGTCGAGCGCTTGGA